TTTTCATGAGACATGACTATTTCTTGTATCGGAGGATATTCAGATTGAAAAGTTCGACCATAATGAGTTTTCCATGTTTTCTAATTAACATGGATATTTTGAATTGATTTGGATTTTGAAATCTTTTTACCAAATGCTTTAAAATGTGTCCACTCATAAAAATTTAAATCTTCAGGAAAATCATAAAATTCTTCCCATAAAAATTTAATTTCTTCTTTTGAAAACATCATTTTGAGAGTATGTTGAAAAGTTTTAATTACAGGAATTTAATCAGTTTTGAATTCAATTTCTCTATTAATAGTAGAGGAAATGACATTACATTGACTATTCAACATTTTAGATGGATTAGGCAACATATCAGATAAAGTTGGGAATTTAGGATGTTCTAAATCATCATCTTTATCAGATGTATATTGAGTTTTAGGAATATTTGGATTGAAATTGACACCTTTGAGTTTTTCAAAAAATGTTGAAAATCTTGAAGTTTGTAAAGAAATTATAGATCTGCCACAAGATCTAGAAGAATATGATCTTTGAAGACCTTTTGAGGTAGATGCTTCAAAAATCATTTTGACATGTCCATCAAGAAATAAAATAATTTGATTTAGAGTTGTACGAACCAGAGTAGGAATTGGGTTTTGAGAATTTTCAAAATGTCATTCTAATCCTCTAGATTGAAGGTTCCATTGTATCCTTTTAGAAATCATGGTATTAACATGAAGATGATTGACCTCCACAAGAAGGCTTTCTTTTCTTGGAGATAAGCTAAGAGCTCGAATATTAAGTTGAGTATTCGTAAGCTCATAATATATTCAATATATTAAAGCAAATTATTTTGAACGATCATCAATATCAAAATTTTTCGTTTGAATATGAAGATTTAGAGCATTAAGAATGGCTCCATCATTAAGACTAATTGTACGATTTGGATAACAATTTGAAAAAATAGGATCACTTTCTAAATTTGATTGGAAAACAGAAAGTAATGAATGTTCAAATTTGAGAAGTCTTTTATCTCTAAGAATTAAGAGAATTGGAATGTCTAAACCAAGTCTAAACAATGGTTTAACCGCAATTTGAATAAGTTCCACATGAAGATATTAAAAAAACAAATTGATAGGTTTGAATAACATCTTTTGAAAACAAATTTATTTGAGATGATTGATTTTTTATAGCAATAGTTTGCTCAAATGTTTTGATAACATAATCTTGAGTAAAATCAAAATTTTCTATTTTATAGATAGAACTCTTGTGTACCTTTGGAATAATCCAATTATGCAATTTGAAGTTCATGAGAATTGAATGAATCTATAGATGCAGATACATGATCTTGATCAATTTCTTCTTCTTCAAAAGTGTTTGAAAAATTTTCAGTTCTATTACTAGGACTATCAAATCTTAGAAATTAAAGACATAATTTGAATAAAATGAAATTATAATAACATATCGCTGTAGACACAATGCTACATGATAGACTAAATCCAACCCAATCTACAATGGGACCACCCTACGCTCTCTCTCGACTTCACGGGCTGACCACCGCTACTTCTTAAATAAGCTAAAATCTAGCCCCTATACTGAAATGTTTGCCTAGCTCCCTCTGTGATAAGTGTAACTTCTATCTTAAAGTGGATATTTGGAAGTTCGTGTAGGGAATTATTATTTAATCTTTTTTAAAATCATTTGTTAAGGTAAAATTTGATGTTGGATGACTTTTTTGAAAAAAATAAAAATAAAAATCGAACTAAGAGGATGTGATTTGTGCATAAATTAGAGAGGATGAACATCTGAATTAGATGATGAAGGGCTTCAATTGCATTTAGGAGGGACTTGAGTTGAAAAGAAAGATGAAATCAAGGATCAAAGTGCATATGTACAAAAAATTTTCCCTGTGATCGCAAGGGCATCAATATTAAAAGCAATGAGTGTTTGATTGTGCCATGCGATCACATAGTACAATTTCGGCCATAAGATTTTGTTTTTATTTTCTAATTCAACCACTTCTAGGAAGGAAATTTGCACATTGTTATAATATAACTTGTGAGGAAATTTTTGACATTCTTGATATCATAATATGGAGAAGAATGCTAGAAAGATTTACATGCTACACTTATCAAAAGCTTGAAAATGTATAGCTCGGAATTAAAGAAAATCGAGTGAAGTCAAACGCCATTATAGTTTCTACACCAGCTTCTACTTGATTTTTCTTGATTCGTTGAATCCAATAAAGAATAGTTGCCCTCTCTTCCATTATCGTGTTTTGTAGTCAATATAGTAAGTGGGTAGGAACTTCAATTGGGAGACCCTCATTCCCTGCACCATCAAAGGATTTCCTAGGAGATGGGGATGACCCCAATTGTCATTTAACCTTATTTATTTTTATTTACAAATAAGATGCTTTTATTATATGTACTCTTTAAAAAAAAATGGTGTGCTTTTCAGAAAACTTAAATAGGACGGGGATAGGTTGAAGACCATGATCCCCATCTTCGATTCGAGGCTGATTTCGTAACACCGTCGTCTCCCATCTCTAGTTAAGTCAAGATTTCCCTTCCAATTGACATCCCTATAAGAGCCGCACATAGATATTTTCTTCGGATAATTTTTTCCCAGCATTCCGTTAAAATTGAACTTATTAAACAAAACGAATGATGATTTAAGATGTGTTCGGTAAAAATTAAAATTGAATTAAAATTGAAAAATTAGTCGTTATTGTTGACTTTTATTAGAGGAGTGAGACTCAATAACAACTATATTTTCAATTTTAATTGAATTTTAAGCTTAACCAAACATGCTCTTAGTAAATGGTTGAATGTTGTAGCTTGTCAGGTGCATATTTGATATAAAATATTGGACAATGACACAATGATTAACTTCTTATTTCTTTCTTGTATTGTTTAATGTATGGCAATTCATCTTTAAAACATTAATAATGTTATTTGACACCAGTGATATTAGAGTATCAATTTAGACGACTACACTTTACAAGTTCAATTAAATGAGTCACGTTATTTTACATTTAAATGAATCTATTATTTAATGTCACGTAATTGTCACCTAAATTTATATAAATTCTACCCTTAACCTATTTCTTCAATTGCAAGTTGGTCTCTAACATCTAAAATGAGTAAATAAGCCCCAACTTCTATAATAGTTATATAAGAGATTGTTCAATTTTTTATTAAATTGTGACTATGGTAGTGGAAAATCAAAGCAAAATTTGTGTAACTAAGTCTATGTTTGGTGTAGATTAAAAATTGATAAAATTTTAATTAAAATTAATAATTGCACATTTCATGGAACAACTTTTCAATCATATATTTCATCCAATTTTATCAAAACCTATTAAAAATCTAATTTTAATACTCAATTTGTTCCATTTATATAGACTGACTGACTTTCTTTATTTTCTTGTCCCAATTATATAGTCTTTTTTTTTTTTTTTTGTTATTGAGAATATTTTGTTTTGTTCGTTTACTACTATACATTTTTTAAATTTACCTAATTATAACCAATGTGAGAATTGAAAATTAAATCATTCAATTTTTTTACTACTTCCAACAATATTTTATTACAGTTGTTAATAATTAAATTAGGATAAGTTAGGAAAGTTTTAGACAAAAAATGCTTTTTCAATAATATTAAATAAGATTTTTTAATTCGTGTGAAAAACAAAATTAGTTTATATAAATGGGATGAATTGAGTATATACCAAACATGGGCTAATTATCCAATCATAATGAAAGGACAAGTACTAAGCACACTTCTTTTAAAGGATGAGAACTAACTTGTTAGTAAATTAATAGACTTGGGACCCAAAATGAAATTCTTCAAAATTCTAAATAGACCTATCTGGTTAATTTCACAAACCAGTAAGATACGGCCACGTAGGCCATCAACCATTACGACCTGGAATTGCCACCGTGGGATCTTGGCACCGAACTATACATCAAATCATTACTAGACACGTGTTTGGAGACACCGCCTGTATCCGGTCACATGCGACTCTCACCGTCTACAGCCAGTAACTCTGCCTCTCTGCTCCCGCTAGATATTTAACCTCCGATGAGAACGGAAATTCCTTCTCTCCCTACTAGTTCGCCGTTACGATTTCTTTCTCTCTCTAGTTCTCCGTTTTCAGGTGCGCAATTTCTACTTATTATCACATTTTGCTTATAATTAAATTTCCGGTAAATTAGAAATGTTTTGTAATTTTTTCTTTTTTAGTAATCTGTTCAAGTGTAAAGATTTATTTTTCCCGTGTCTTGAAGTTTTCATTCTTCTGCAAATTCCGATCTTCGTTTAATCTTCTTGCATTATGCTAATCGGAAGCTTAATCTGAGTATTTTTTCTGTTAAGTACATCTTTAATTAGTAAATTTACTTAATTACAGTGACTTTTCTTTTGATGACATTTACAACTTTTGATTCGAGTTGATGTATAATTTGTTTAGTTAGCGAGTCACATTTTATTTAACATTGGTTTATTGATTAGATTTTGTCTTTACTTTTAGCTTATAGGTGCCAAAGACTCGTGATTTCCTCTATATAAGTTTAATCTTAGTTGTTCAAAGTTAGGGTTTGTATATTAGTTAGATTTTCTGTAGGTCTTTATGTAAATGTTACTATGGGGTTATTTTGTAAACCTTTTATTGTTTGTTTAATTTATGATTCACTTGATGGGTTTCTATCTCATTTTTTTCTTTTCTTTTTGGTGTTGATTTTGTAATCAATAGTTTTAATCTTTATTTTTTTACTTGCTGATTTTATTTTATGTTACTTTGTAGACCTCAAGCAGAAATTTGTTCAAGGCAGCAATTTGATCTGAAAAATAATGGGGCCCTGTAAGAAGTTGAAGCTGAAAGAATAGTTGTTACATTTTGTATTTTGGGATTTCTAAGTTCTAATTTGAATTGGTTATTGATGAAGTTAAGCTATTTAGGTCCCAGCCACTAGGCAGCAGAACCTTGAACAGTGGTGCCTGCTTGGGTGGCTGGAGAGATGGAACATTCTTCTTCGAGTTCAGGAATCTATTTTCAAGGACTTGGGCAGTCCCAGGTAGCTGGGAATGTTCTATTCAGTTCGAAATTTGGGAACTCATCTAAGTTAATACCTGGAAATGCATGTTCCAACGGTGATCTAGCATCTGGGGATGTCAGCAACACAGTTTTGAACAGCGTGGCAAGCTCCACTCCAAGTATTGGGGCAAGTTCTTTGGTCACAGATGCCAACTCAGGACTTTCGGGAGGTCCCCACTTACAGAGGAATTCTAGCTTTAATACAGAATCTCATATGCGCTTGCCTGCATCACCATTGTCATTCTCATCTAACAATATTAGCATTTCTGGCTCATCGGTCATGGATGGATCCTCTATTGTGCAACAAAGCTTCAATCAAGGCCTATGCTCTCAACAGACTCAGAGAAGTCAGCAGCATCACGGACCTTCCAGTGCCACTTCTTTGCCTACATCACGGATGGAGCAAGTTCAGCTTCTTGGTGATCCAAGGGCTACTAGTTCATATATTCAGGATTCCAGTAATATGTATCAGTTACAAAAGAAGCCTCGGTTGGATATTAAGCAGGATAATATACTACAACAGCAGGTTTTTCAACAACTGCTTCAGAGACAAGATCCCATGAACCTACCAAACCCCAATCCTCATATGCAAACTTTGATTAAACAGCAGAGATTTAGGCAACAGCAGCAACAGCTTCTACAGTCCATGCCTCCAATGCAGCGGGTTCAATTGCTGCAGCAGGAGCAGCAGCAGCAGCAGTTGCAGTTAAGACAGCAGCTTCAACAACAGGGCATGCAGCCTGCATCTACCATGAATCGCCCCTACGATGGTGGTGTATGCTCTCGGCGGCTAATGCAGTACTTGTATCATCAGAGACAGCGGCCTGCTGTGAGTAAATTAGTATTTGACACAGTAACACATGTTTTTTACTCACCACCAAAGCTTACATCTATTGTAGGCTTAGTATAGGGTTGTTTTAAAGTTGCCTTTTTGTTTTGTCCAATTTCAGTCTAAGCTTGAAGTTGTCTTACTCTTTGATAAGTTTACATCTTGCTAGGATAACACTATTGCCTATTGGAAAAAGTTTGTGGCTGAGTATTACTCCCAACATGCAAAGAAGAGGTGGTGTCTGTCCTTGTATGATAACGTGGTGCATCATTCACTTGGAGTATTTCCCCAGGCAGCTGTGGTAATTGTTTTGGGCTGTAGGTTATTTTATGGAATCAGTTATGCTTCTAGTTGAACCTTATACTGATCTAGATACATTGAAATAGTTACTTTAATTGCATAGATCTCCATCTAGTTTATGCACCGTCTTATGCTATTTTGTCTCTATTTCTACTTCGGTTGTCCAAGGTGTCTCAAACACATAATTTCCCATCTTGTTCTTCTTGCTTCTTTTATATCAGGATGCATGGAAGTGCGATATTTGTGGTTCAAAATCTGGGAGGGGATTTGGTGAGTCGTATGTTTTGAAGTTTGATGCTTTTGAATTTCATGTTCTTTTCTATTTGCATGTACCGTGACAGATGTAAATTACTTTTGTGTTACGTTAAAAGATTATATGTAGTCATAGTGCTATCACTATTAGTTCTAGGTTCTTTAGTTACCATATACGTAGTAAGCTAAAATAAATATTATTACGGTGGAGCAAATTTTCTTTTGGGAGAATTGAGACCACAATACCAAACCTTTCGAAAATTCGCACCTGGAGTCCAATTTGATGGAATTCGTCAATTAAGTCATTGGTTGACCTCAAAAATAGAAAAAAATTGATAATTTTGACCAACTAGGATAAGGGCATTTTCGTCATATTACATTTCACCCTTCCCAAAAAAAAAAAACCAGGTCCGTCTTCTTCTTCCCAGTACCCCCACCCCACCCAAAACCAAATCTAGATAGCCACTTCCACAACCACCTCTGCCATTTGGGATCCTAGTCCATAGCATGTTTTATCTCAAAGCAGGCTCTACAACTCAAACCATTGTTGAATAGAGGTATGCTAAGTGCTCTAGTGTTCACTCCGTACCTGCACAAATTCCCATGCCCCAAACACCACGCGAAAAATTGAAGAGAAAATATGAAATGGAGTGCAGATGAAGAGAATTAGACTTAAACGGTAGAGAGCTATTTTATGGAAATCTATAAAGGAAAAATACAACATATGTTAACATTCACATATTTGTGAATGTGTGTGGAGTGAAAGGTGTGGGGGGAATAAGTGGGTATCCATAGTGTTAGAAGCGTCGCTACCATCGTAAAATGTGGCATTGGTACCTTTTGCCGGGGGTCATCGGTGTGAACTCTGGGGATTTTGGCATAAGCAGCAGTTAGACAATAGAGGATGCTAGCAATGTAGAGTAACGACTCCGTTGAACCCATTTTTTCTTACTGGGTTTAACCATTTTCTTGGCCTTCAGGCAATAACCATTAATGGTGTTGCCATGACGGTGGAATTGGGTAGAAATGGTGATGAATCTCAAGATTCCTTTTAAAGAGGCTGTGTCACAAAGGCCACAATGATGCCGATGGGTGAGTGGTGATGGCTGAGCTGCTGTTTTGGTTGGTTGGGGGTGTTAGGAAGATGAAGATATTTTTTGTTTTGATTTTTGATTTTTAAAAAAAGGAAATGTAATCTCATGAAAATGCCCTTGTCTTAGTTGGTCAAAATTATTAATTTTTTTATTTTTGAGATCAACTAACAACTTAATTAACAGATTTCGTCGGATTGGATTCTAGGTGCAAATTTTCGAAATGTTTTGTATCATGAGTGACACAAATGGAAGGTTTGGATAAAGTTTGAAACAAAATGAAAGGTTTGTACCGTGGCTGCAATTGTCCCTTTTCTTTTAGACAACTTTCATGTAGGAGATGCTATATTTTTAAAGTTGTTCATGTTAAAAGTCTCTTGACTATGAACTTCTCTTGATCCCCTTTCCTTATTCACAAAAATGCCATACTTGGCTAAGGTTTAAGTTTATGTTGATTGTAAAAGAACATAGAATAGTACCTAAACTTGGTAGCTATATGACTTCACTATACTAACTTCTGAACTATATAACATCTTCAATAACCGTTCTTGAATATAAATTCCCTCAAGTCTTTACCTTTAAAAGGTACTGTGCAAGCTTATGCGAATTAAAAACTAGGAGGGTAGTCTTAGAAAGTGACTAGAAATTATGAAACTATCAAGTATGTCTTTGTTTGTTTCTTAAATAATTAATATTACTAATATTTTTTTTCTTTTGCTTTTAAATTATCGTAAATGTTTTGTGTCGCCAAACCCAAGTTTATTGAGATGTAAGGCTTAGCATCTTCTTGTTGTATTAGTTTAGATACATGTTTAGTTTTTTTCTTTTTTTTTTCAGACGGGGGTGGTAAAACCGTAAAGGAAGAGATGAATTTTTTTTGGAAGTATTCTATATCAATGTTTTCCAAATATAAATCATATTCTAATTTTTCTGTCTCTATTTCTCGTCCATAGATATACACCAATCTGCGCATGATTCAGTCATTGAACGATACTTGGGGCTATTGGCTGTGCCTGTGGATGTAGAATTGGTTTAAGCTTTCAATATTTAATAGTCAATTCATTTATTGATTGTGATGAGGACATCTTTTACTTTGTAGTTGGACTTACTATTTTACTTGTGTTTAGTTGGGCTTGTATTAAATGGGTTGGCCCAAGCCCTTTATGCTTGGGTTTGCTTATTTTCTATATATATGTGTGCCTTGTATTGCAACATTACAGGTAGACAATGAATGAAGGATAAAAATGGTTTGTTGATCAAGTTTGCCCCCTTTCCCTTGCTTCTTCCCCTGGTTNTCCCCCCCCCCCTTCTTGCTTCTATTCTTCTTCTTCCTATTCTTTATGTGATTCTCCTGCTTGCTGCAATTCTGCCTCTTATTTTCCTGTGATTAACTGCTGCTTGTAATTAACTGTGGGAATACATCCATTGATCCTACGTCAAAGTAGTATCGAGATATTTTCTAACTCATATTACTTGTGTGTGGGTCTTAACAGAGGCAACTTTTGAAGTGCTGCCCAGACTGAATGAAATCAAATTTGGCAGTGGGGTCATCGATGAGCTTTTATTTTTGGACTTACCTCGTGAATGTAGATTCCCTTCAGGAATGTTGATGTTGGAGTATGCAAAAGCTGTTCAAGAAAGTGTATATGAGCAACTTCGTGTGGTTCGTGAGGGTCAGCTTCGTATTATTTTCACCTCTGACTTAAAGGTAAACTGGAAAGATTAATTGACTTGGAAGTATTATCAGTTTACTCATTTTTATGTCTTTCACTGCATTGAATCACTGACCTTTTTCAGATATTGTCGTGGGAATTTTGTGCAAGGCACCATGAAGAACTTCTTCCCCGTAGATTAGTCGTACCACAGGTAATTGTTGTACTTGACTTGCTATTTGTTGGCCGAGCCCTTAATTTTGTTTTTTTTATTTTTCATAGGCACACAACTTCCATTATGTTCTCAATTGAATTATGCTAGTTCAATTTTACTTTTACATGTAGTTTGTGGTTGCACCTCAGATATTAGTGGCATATTACAACCGATCTGTTGTAAGCTCGATGGAAGTTTTTTGCATAGTTTCCATATGATTTAAATGATCATCCATTTCCAGTCGCATTGGTTTGAATTCCCTGCTTGTGCTAAAATCTAGCTAATTTATGTTTAGTGTGGTAACTTTGTCTTTGTAAGACTTGGTATGATTTGAATTATCATCCCTAATATTTTTTCATATTAACGATGGGGATTGCCACAGTTCGAACGTTGAAGTTCCAGAACTATTGCAATTAGTTGTGCATTTTGCAGTTTGTTTTATACTTCAGAATCATCAAGTTACAATTGTTAGAATTGCTGTCAAGATCCCTATCACTTTTGGGAATTCTAGTTGATCACTCTCTTACTCGAGCATTGAATGTGCCACTTTTTTATTGTTTTATTCATCAATAATTTATATATATTGGTTGAAGGAAAATAAGCTATAGCAGTCAAACATGAACTCCAAGCAAAGGGCCCCATTTAGCATGAAACTTTAGTTGATGCAAGTACAGAGTATTTACATGGAAATATGGTACTTATTAAACACTTTCTTCTACAGGTGAATCAATTACTTCAGGTTGCTCAGAAATGCCAAAGCACAATTTCTGAAAATGGACCAGATGGGGTTTCTCAGCAAGATTTACAAGCAAATAGTGCTATGTGAGTGAACAGTCCTCTACTCTCTTAGTCTGCAGATCCTTTCTTCCAATTTAGTCAATTTCAGGGACGGATGGGGGGGGGGGGGGGG